TCCTGTTTTCATTTCACAGGGCTGAAAGCACAATGACAGCAAATACCAAATATCATAGAGCACATAAAGCTAAAATGTTAGTATTTATTTATGTATTTATTTATTTATGCATTTATTTATTTATCCGACTCGTACATAGGAATTTTCTACTGCCTCAACTTCATGCAAAAAACACAATATCTGACCATGCCAATATGCTAATCAAACATGTTTCGGCTACATCCAGTGGAGACATGACTCCCGGACTGTTTTGGGTATAGCACTATATTCACTTCCCCCTGCTCTGCGTAAAAAGGAGGAATGGTGTTCTTTTGTTGTATGAGTTTGACGCATCTGAATGTATATTGTCATGAAGTCATTTTACTATTACAAATATAGTTGTTGCAGTCCGTAACAACCGTATGCTGTCAGCTCCTTGTATGTAGGCATGCAAGTTTTAGCAGAACATGCCCTTAAGTGACCTTGCAGTTTATGATTTCTTTTATTTCAAATCTTGTCTGTTTGGGGAGTGATTGTATGGGGGAGAATTATAATAAATGATCAGTCCAAGTCCAAATACTAAATACTGGGTTTATATTGGAGCAGATCCTAAAATCTAACTGTCTGTTCTCTCATTGTTTACAGAATCATGTGAATCGTGTTACTAATGTGTGTACATGGACAGCGGGACAAATGCAAATAAAATGTTGGATGCTGTGGAAATAAAGCATTTCAGTTTTTGCATATTTATTTATCTGCATGGGCCTAGGGCACTATGACCAGAAGAGACTACGCAGCATTCACAGTGAGTGGTCCTCCGAATGTTCGTCTTCTTGGAGATGTTATGGCTTTGCCTGTAATGTTAATCATATTTTATTTGTTTTACACAGCAAATTCAAAAGTGTTAAATTCACGGTGTTGGTGTTGTTGTGAGTAAAGTGAAGAAAAGCCAGATATGTTTCAACATAGTAAGAGTTATTTCAACTATGCTGTGTGCTGTAGAGTAAAATAAGTAGTTGTTGAGTCAGTGCATGTGCATGTACCTGGGACGTACTTGCTTAAAAATGGTAAATTAGACACTGGTTGGTAATTGCTAAAATTAAAATCTAAATTGCTCTTCTTCAGCAGGGGCCTCACCACCGCTGCTTTGAAGGCAGTGGGAAAGACCCCCGTCTGAAGAGAGCAATTCATCATGGTTAAAAGCTCATCCCTGAAAGAAAGAGCCATAAAATGACTTAGAAAATGGGGTGGGAACTGGATCTGAAAGATATGTAGTGGGCCTCAACTGAGGAGAAAACTTTGTCAAGCATCTCAGCATTAACCAGGACAAAAAAAAAAAAAAAAAAAAGGATTTTAGTTTGGGTTTGATGTTTTTGGTTATGGAGTGGAGCAGCCAGATCTAGAGCAGACTGTAGTCTACTGTTAAAATTGTCAATAATAAAATCGCAAGGGGCAAGTAAAACCATTGGGGGATTTTTATATTAAACTTCAATAAAATTTGCAGCCACTTCAGGGGTCAGATGAGGCTTCCTCACAGTTCTCACAGAGGTCTCCAGCTGTATAAAACCAGTGATATGTAACAGGGTCTAAAAGGTTATCTATGTGCAAGTTAAAATCACCAGTCATAATAATTATGTTAAAGAATTGGGTAAAATAGATAAAAACTCACTGATAAAAAGATTGCATTTTTTTTGGTGATCTCTATACCATGACGCATAAAATTGTAAAATTGTTCAATAAAATAGGTTTGGGTGCCAGAGTGTTTGTACACATAGAAGCAGTGCAACAACTGTTTCATCTGCACCCAGGCATGTTTCAGTCAAAAAGCAATCAAGTTTGTGGTCTAAAATCAGGTCATTATAAAGACTTGTTCAGCAGAGAGCGGACATTTAAAAAGGGCCATGTTTAAAGTTAACGGGGACTGAAAAACTACAGGAATTTGTGTTGTATATGCTTTTGAAAGAGATTACTGGTGTAGTTTTCTGAGAAGTTTTATGCTTATGCCGCTCTCTGCTGATAATCACAGGAATTAATTTTGCTTGATTACATTGTTATGCTGAACCCAGTTTGAGTTCAATATTATATGAGAGGAGACAGGATCTGAGGATGTTGGGGTTTGGTGGTCCTTTTAAAAAGTTCAGGTCTCTTAAAAAAATGTGATAAAATTGTCCACATAGGGGATTTTATTGTCTCTACAGTATCTTTTCTGCCTTATGTGAAATGCTCTTAAAGCATTGAACTTCTCATCTCCAAAATGAGGTGGTGCAAAAAGTCAAGAGATGGCAGTGTTTGTCTAAACTGTGGATTGTAGTGATGAGGATTTTGAAGTCATCTTTGAGTATTTCTGACTGCTGCAATTTAAGATTGTTTGTTCCAGCATGAATAACTACCGTTGCCACGGTGGAATGATCACGTAAGGTGGTGGGGGCGGAGTCTATGATGTCCTTCACGAGAGAACCTGGGTGACAGGAGGTGGCCTTTGTTTACTTTCACGTGCTGGACCATGGAGGAGACGAGAATCAGCATGGACCACTCTGGCCTGGACGCCAGGGCCGAGAACACCACAGAGATGTGAGCAGCTTAAATGCGTCGATTTGCGCTCCCGAGGCAGAAGTAGAGCAACAAGTAACATTTCAAAAGTGTATTGGTTTTACTGTATGTTTTGACCAGTTAAGCATATAAGCAACATGTGCATGTTAGATTTGCGGTAGAATACCTGCGTTAGATGATTGAATAGTTTGGATTTAATATTAGATTTTATCGTTTTCATTACATGTATTTTATTTTGTTTCCAGGTTAGGAGACGTTGTAACTTTGTTTAGAAAGGCCTGTCAAAATGAGCTACCTCTACTCAAATTCAAATAAAAGGAGTGAACAATGGTGATTCTACATTGAATGATTCTATGGTTCATTCAATGGCTAAATTGGCCTGTCACATGTGCTCCCTTTAGTCAGGGCCCTATTCGATAGTATAATACAGCTGTCGAAATAAACTATGCATATTCATATAAATTAGTTGAAATTGTATATAACAAAAGGTATAAAGTATGACCAGCGTGTGCAAACAGCATCAAACCCACTGTCTCTAACCCAAAGAAATATGCTGTAAAATTTGGACAGGTTAGCTTTATTGGATCTTTACAACTGTACACAGAAAAACGTAAAGTAGCTTATTTCAGCGGGTTTACTCGTTCACTGCCCGAATCCATTACAGGCTACAACAATCCAGGAATCTGACTGGACTGGAGTGGAATGGAGCTGATCTGGGTTTCTTTAGGTTTAGCCCCTCGCTGAAGCCAGCAGTGTTTGTCTGTACCTGCAGTTGGAACGCCGGGGTCGGATGGTGAGGGCAGGTGCGAGCAGGTGCTCGGGCATCTCCAGAGTAGTGGACGATGTCAGGCTGCAGGGTGCTGTTGGGGGTGGCCCGAATCTTGCCCAGGACGATATTCTGGTCGCTCTCCACTCAGCTTTCGAACATGGATATGCACTGTTCCAACTCAGCCACCCTCTGACACTTCTAGAGGTTAAAAGGCAGATTGAGGTCATAACCAATACACAGACCTATCATTATCTATCTATACAAACAAACAACTACAGGTGGAAATTAGCTCTAATGCTACAACCTGGCACAATGCATCTCTCCAGTTAAGGTTAATGTAGATTGTGCAGTGTCTCATAAATAAATAGTCCCTTTGTCTTTCAAATCTCCTGTGGGACAAACGTGGTTAAAATGACTTAATGTGGTTGGACTATTAAGTTCCAACGACATCAAGGGCCTATTGTTAATAAATAGTGAAAGTTCAAGAGAAACACATGACAAAACAAACTTTGTTGAGAACGCAACCATGATCCTACTGTAACTAGAGCAGTTTCATTGCATAACTGTCAACTGTAATACAAGTTTTTACAGTGTTCAGTCACAACTTTGCCTACAGGGGTGGGAGGGTTTTCTTCAGTTGGTTCCATTTCTTTGCGTAAATCAACTGCAGTTGCACTTACAATAAGTTAAATATTTACTCTTAACATAATAATTGTCATCCTCGTAACCTGGCTCACACCAGATTGTTATGTGCATCACTCTGAATTGAGTTCTACACATTATCAGTCTGAAACAGTTTTTGCTGACAGCATTAAAAAAAGAACATAGAGTACGACAGCGGAGCAAGCCAGAAATCTAACTTTTGTTACATCCAGTTGAGAGAAAAGCAGACATCTTCCATGTCCACGAATGCACAAAGTGTTGTCCTTCTGCACATTTTTTTTATAAACCAAGTCTGTATTGACACTAGAATAGGCTGAAGTGCATCTTTTGGCATCACCATGTTTTGGTTAATTTGGGTAGAAGTTGTATACTGTAAAGCCAGCAACTGCTTGGACAGCTTGGATAGCCTTTAACCTATTGCTTCCCCTAGGGGTATAAAGATCATGTATACTTAGTTAAGACCACCAGAGTCGGGAGAGATGCCTCTGTCAGGGACAAGCAGTTCTGGAATTGTGCGCAATTGCTGTAATAAATCATACTGTTTTATTTAAGACTTGAATTCTTGAAAATCCATGACAGTGGTATGTAAAGAGCCTTAAGCATTCAGGCAAATATTAATTCATACATTGAAATTCTAAATAATAGATGACATAGTAGTCACTAGACTAGTAGTAGACGTAGTCACTTCAAAGTAGGTTACAGTAAACATATAGGTCTACAACATATTTAGCATAGATCAGTTAATTTGACAAAAAAAAAAGTAGGCAATCTAGCGAACTGACAGGGTGAAACAAAGCTAGAGAGAAAAATTAGATGTACACATAATATATCCATCCATCCGGGGCCAGGTCACGGGGGGCAGCAGTCAAAGCAGGGACTCCCAGTCTTCCTTCACCCCAGACACGTCCTCCAGCTCCTCCGGGGGGACCCCAGGGTACTCCAAAAACCAGGTCTGAGGAAAACATGAAAAAAGACAAAGTACTGGGGAAAACAGGCAAAAATGCAAGAAACAGAACTGGAGCCAGTAGTTTGTACCACAGAGGCTAGAGTGTAGATGCTTGAGGTGATCTTAAATACTGCAGAGGTGAAGGTTGATTGGAGCATGAGCTGCAGGTGAGGAGTGGGTGGATCCAAAGACGAGGGTGGTGCCAGATTCTCCGCCCAGCTCCATACACACAAGACACAGAGGGCAGAAGACGGCACAAGGGGAAAAAACAGGAATCCTGACTGTATCCTCCAATATTCACTGCAACTTTAAATGTGGATGTGGCCTTGAGTTTCTAATAAGACTGCAGCTGTGAATGTGAATTTTCTCTGTCCAGGTCAGTACATTTAGCAGCAGGTTTTCAAGTAATTGATTAATGTAAATGTTGACTAGCTATTGAAATGTTGTTGCTTGTCCAGCCTGGGTCCAGGCCGCTCTGCAGAGAGGGTCTGTAGTACACTGGGGTTGCAGCTTCAATCCTGATCATTAAGGTCTTGATCAGTAATCTAACAGTTTCATCAGATAGCATTCTTTTATCTACATAATTATCAACATTGTGGTTCTTTTTAACTCTTTCACCATAAAGTAAGAATACTGGTAAGTGATCTGTTATATTGCAGATCATTAGACCACTAATATTATTGTCACATGTTAGTCAAAATATTGTCAATAAGAGCAGCACTGTGATCTGTAATTCGGCTGGGTCTTGTAATAGCTGGGTATAAGCTCAAACTATACATTCTATTAAGAAAACCATCTGTCATTTTATGTTTAGCAATATTTAATAGATCAATATTGTAATTACAATTATGTAATTACTACATATGTTAAATGTTTTGTTATTGCTCATAGAGAAAATTTTTTCTATCCAGTCATTACATTCTTCAACATTTGTCCCAGGAGATCGATATATACAGCTGATAAAATTTTTTGTCTTAAAGTTGCAGATTTCAACTGATGCACACTTTTGGTGGAAATCTTTCATGCCCTTCACTTCCACAGCTCCTCACACCATGATCTTTTACAACTTTTAGGGTTTTCATTAATGGTCTTGGGTTTTGTAACTAATAACTGACCGATGTTTTTCCTATGTATAGTGCTGTAACCTTGTTATCCTCTGAAGGACACCCACATGACAAGACAATCTATTGCTGTCAGTCTGTGCTTTTATCTGTCTCAAACTGCTTTTGACTTGTTATATTGATGATTATTGACCCAGTTTTATACAGAACTAAGTAAAAATTGAATCTAATATTAATAGTACAACAAAAATAGTGTGTGCAGTTGCTGCAAAGCTTTTTTGAGTTGACGGTGCCAACAAGAGTTGATAAGTTAATCATTTCTTGGGGTCAACTAATTTGTCTTCGTTTACAAAATATGTGATTAGTAGTTCATACAAATATATATTTTAAGTCCAGTAAGCGTTTTATTCGATGCTTGATGAAGTCATTAATACTAGTTGACCCAAGAAGGTTATTTTTTGGATCAACTAATATTAATGACTTCATCAAACAGCAAATAAAAAGCATACTGGACTTGAAATATATATTTGTATGAACTACTAATCACATACTTTAGTCCGGTTCCTTATTGTCATTTTTTGACCTTAGTGGGAAGTTTTTGGGGATTTGCTAACCTATATATTTTTGGAAAGAATTGCCCACATGTCTTTATGGCGGCCATATTGGATTTTTTTAAAATGGCTGCCAAAAAACCCTTTTTGGAATATCTCAGCCTCTGAATAAGTTGAAATGTTGATTTTAACTGCTAAACCCACATTTTCAGGGTCAGGGAATCAAATGGTGCTAGTTACGAACCTGTAAGACCTACTCACATTAACCCTTAGATGAATAAGTGGGTCAAAAATGACCCGATTTGGTTGTTTGCTTGCAATTTCACTGTAATATTTACATGTAATACTCCATGTTCCTCCAAATACATGTTTTTCTCTTTTTTTTTTTATTATCCTGCTGAAATACATCAACAATATGGGTAAAACAAATTATAAACATCACATGCAGCTGGTCAGATAACTCAAAGAGTTTAAAAGTAGCTAACATAAAATTTGGATGTTGGATGTAAACACACACATTTAGACACAATATGATTGCACAACTTTTTTATGAGACATTTTCTATACATCATCATTATCATCATCACTTTCATACAACCATAGACTGTATATATGAGTGGACAGATCTAACGCTGGAGCCGCCGTGTGCCAAACAGGAAGTTCTCCAGGAGGCTCTTCCGGCTCCTTCTGACTCTGCCTCCAATGGACTTACATTAGGATCTTGTGGCTCCTCTCTCTATACCTGCTGCAGTGAGCCTTGACATTTTGGTCTTAAAATGTTTGTATGAACCCGCTCAACATGATCCTGACTTTATTTATTTATTTTTTTTCGCTATTTTGTCCATCAAAAAAATCCTATTCATAATATAAAGCCCATGGCTGGATGAGATCCATCTTGAGTACCTTAAGTCTCTGGATGTTGTGGGTCTTGGCTGACACGCCTCTTCAACATCGTGTGGCGGTCGGGGACAATACCTCTGGACTGGCAGACTGGGGTGTTGGTCCCTCTGTATAAGAAGGGTATGTTCCAACTACAGGGGAATCACACTCCTCAGGCTCTCCGGTCTGTGCCAGGGACTGGAGAGGAGAATCCGACCGTGGTTTTCATCCCGGTCGTGGAGCACTGGACCAGCTCTACACTCTCCATCAGGCGCTCGAGGGTTCATGGGAGTTTGCCCAACCAGTCCACATGTGCTTTGTGGATCTGGAGAAGGCATTCGACCGTGTCCCTCGTGGTGTCCTGTGGGGGGTGCTCTGGGAGTATGGGGTTCGGGGCCCTTTGCTAAGGGCTGTCTGGTCCCTGTACGACCGGAGCAGGAGCTGTGTTCATTGCCAGCAGTAAGTCAAACCTATTCCCGGTGCATGTTGGACTCCACCAGGGCCGCAACTGTCACCGGTTCTGTTCATTGTATTTATGGACAGAATTTCTCGGTGCAGTCAGGGGCCGAACTGCCTGGTTTGGGGACCACAGGATCTCATCTCTGCTGTTCACAGATGATGTTGTCGTGTTGTCTTCATCAAACCAGGACCTGCAGCACTGGGGCAGTTTGACCCGTGTGTGAAGCGGCTGGTATGAAGATCATCTCCTCCAAATCCGAGGCCATGGTTCTCGACCGGAAAAAGGCGTCTTGCCCTCTCCGAGTGGGTGGAGAGTCCCTGCCTCAAGTGGAGGAGTTCAAGTATCTCGGGGTCTTGTTCATGAGTGAGGGGAGGACGGAATGTGAGATTGACAGGCGGTTCCTTTTTCCTGATATTACCATCGCTTGGTATTGCGATGTCCACCACCATGGCTCTGCTCCATTTCTTATCCACCACCACTATGTCTGGTTGGTTCGCCATCACCATCCTGTCAGTCTGTATCTGGAAGTCCCACAGGATCTTGGCTCGGTCGTTCTCCACAACCTTTGGAGGTGTTTCCCACCTTGATCCTGGGGTCTCCAGCCCGTACTCTGCACAGATGTTTCTGTACACTATGCCCGCCACTTGGTTATGTCGCTCCATGTATGCTTTCCCTGCAGCATCTTACACCTGCAGTTCTGTGCTGGACTGTCTCAGGAGCCTCTTTGCACAGTCTACACCAGTGTTTTTCAACCTTTTTTGAGCCACGGCACGTTTTTTACATTGGAAAAATCTTGCGGCACACCACTAACCAAAATGTGACAAAATGACACTATACAGTATATTTAATTACAATATAATTTCTACATTAATTTCTACTTACTCAGTGTGAGACCTGCGCCTGTTTAGATGAACACAAAGCTGATATCCTGGCAGGAATAGAAGAAAGACACACACGAAGCTCTTCATCAACAGCTCTCAGTCTCTCTCTGTTTTTAGTTTTTATAGCAGTTAAGCTTGAAAAGCTCTTCTTCTGGGTCAGAATCTTGTCCAAGGCCCAGTTCGGAGTTTGCATTCGTCCGTTTTAAAAACTTCTCCATGACTGTCACCACACACATGCGTTACTAATTCTTTTAAAGCAGGGGTGCTCACACTTTTTCAGCATATGAGGTACTTACAAAATGACCAAGTCATAAAGATCTACCTAATACAAAGCCAAACAAACTGCACTGAAACACTCTGTGCCCCTTTTTTGGACCCTCACCCACAGTTTGAGAACCCCTTCTTTAAGAGAACTTCCTCTGGCACTTTACACAAAACTGTGAAAAAAGTGAAGGAAGATTTTTAAACCTGTTTTTTAAAGTTCCAAACTGGAGTTGCATTCTTTTCTGGTTTTGCAGTGATATTTACCAGCCTCTGCACATTTACCAAACGCACATCGTGACAAACACAGATGCATTTGTGCACTTCAATTAGGCAAACTTCAGCCAAATGTGGCAGTAGGTCTGTTCTGTAGATCTGCTCTATGCTGTAGACCTGCTTTGTGCCAACACTGTAACACAAATTTAGACTCGTTTTTGCTTCACGTTTCGTGTCGCTCTTCTAATCAACGCGCACTGTGGAAGGGGCTTGTGTTCGCTGTACGCAGGAAGGAGCGAGAGCGTGAAAAGGCGAGGGGCGGCGTGCTGACGTGAGGCAGATGGACAGGTAGGATGTTTAGGAAGTTTAACCTGCCCTGTGATGCACGCTGGTACACGAGGGCACACGCTGTTGCAGACGAGCCGTGCGTAGGGAGCGTATGTATTTGTGATGTGCCGTAGAGTCTCTGCACTGAGCGCACAGGCTGCACTGAGACGCCCCACACGCTCTCGCACACCTGTACAAGTTTATTACCAACAGCAGCGGCCGTAATGAAATATGATCGCACTTGTTGAGTGTCAGACCTTGAGTGAGAGACAAGACCGAGTCCAAACGCGAGTCCGAGACGAGACACGGCGATCTACCCACACGACCTTGGCGATCGACTGGTAAATCGCGATCGACGTATTGAGCACCACTGATTAAAGGAACGAGGCAATTAGCTGCCTGTCGCCACCCGGACGAATATTAGATCACTCTGCCAGTCATCATATACTACACTGTAGTATAGTGCCCGTGCTGTAGTAAGTACAGCACGGACACTCGACAATGAGATAATGTTTGCAGGTAATAATTAATACATTTTAATTAAAAAAAAAGTGATATTGGATAATTTCTCACGGCACAACTGACGATCTCTCACGGCACACTAGTGTGCCGCGGCACAGTGGTTGAGAATCACTGGTCTACACCATGGCTCTTGTTTGGTGTGGTAGATCTGGGCCTCTATTATTCAAGTGCCCAGGGCCTGCTCCTGACCTCCAGAATGAGCCTCTGTGTGTCCTTCA